AGTGTGTAATTAAAAAGATGAAAATGTATATATTCCTTGACAATTTGATTTTTTTTATTGTTGATTCTTCTTGTTTTCTGACTTTTCAATGTTGGTTAATGTAATGATATGAAGCATGTCTAACCTATTATTCTGAACTTATCTTTTTGCTCTTCATGCATTTTTCCTTTTTCAAAACCTCTTCGAGTCCAAAATCCTTAGCTCTTTGCTTGTGAAAATTTCATCAGCATCAACAGGAAAAAAAATGAAATTAAATAGAGGATGGACCTTCATGTACCCCGAGTAGGATAGAAAACATTTATTATATTTGCTAAATGATAAAGTGGGAAGATGGGTGTGAAGAGGCCTACCCAGTGTGACAACATTTCAGAAATAACTTTCAATTTCTTGAGCAAATCTGCATTGATTTTTTTTTTCACTTTCATTTAGTGGGTTTTTTTATGTCTTCAAAGTTGGCTTTTTTCTTGCTCTTGCTTAATTTTTCTTTGACACAGTATTGTTAAATTCCATGTCATATATAATGAATGCTGTACCTTTGGATTGCACTGTTGACATTTCCAAAACTGGAAACACCTGACTATACAACAAAGAAAAGAAAGTATTTCGTGTCATAAATGGGTATAATAGCCATTCTTTAACTAATGAAATTTATTATATTCTGTATATTTAAAAGAGCCACTTCACAGAGTGCTACACGCCAACCTGTATTTCATTCCTAACATGAAACAGAGGTGAGAGTAATGGACTTTTCTCTAATAGGACATTACTAGTGTCTGTGTATAAATTAGAAGATATATTTCTGATGTTATTGCTTCTTTGAGGAAGTGTCATTTAACTTCAGATGGTGCAAAGAGGAGTTCAAGGAAACTGAAATGAAGAAGGGACTAGTGGACTTAGTAAAAGATCTAAAAAATCAAGGAATGCCATATGGAGAACTAGAAAGCTTAGCACAGGGTGGTGGCTTCCACTTGGGTATTCATGAGAGAATAAGGTCTTCTGTATGTGTTCCTGTACTATTGTCTGGAAGCCCTTTAATTTGTCATTTCCACTGTAAGTTTCTCTGTGATCATCAATAGATAGATGCAATGAGAGAGATAAAAATTATTAAAATATTTCCTATAAACTAACTAGCACAGGACAGTCCATCTTTAATGAAAAAAACTATAAGAAGGCAGGTGTAAGAGCTGATTCAACCTCCCACCACTTCTATAGTTAACAGGCTCCTGCTGAACTGACCTTGGTGGCTCTTTGCAGCACCAAATTGTTCATCATCGGTTTCTCTGAGGTACAGAAGGGCCATGACTTTTTTTTGTTGTTTTAGAAACAGCCAACTAAAACCAGACTCAGTTCTGGACTCTTCTGTGTATATGTGGGTCTCTGCAGGAGGTACAGTTGCAATGCACCACATTCACTGCTGAGAAATATGATCAAGGATGCTCTGTGTAGTTTAAATCCCACGTGGTTGCAGGAAGAACCATCCTTCTTGCTGGCAGAAGAAATTCTCACACACATGAGCTATGAAATGCAGCTTGGTTGTTTGCTGGGTACAGTCACTTACTTTGATTGTTCCTTTAGTGTTTTTCATTCTGGAAAGGCCCATCTGGCTTCAGGGAGGCTCATCTAAGGAGAATGATAAATGCCTGCTGGAAGACTGGAAACTTTCTATGACTTTGGTAGGTACTTTAGAGATTCTTTAGCCAGAGGGTCTGACAGACATTAAAGTTCCTTCTTTTAATAATGACTGCTAATATCAAATGCTCCATGTTAATATTTAACACCTGGAATAAATGAACTGATTTTCACTGTTCTTCAATACAAAGAAAATCAAGGAAAATTAAGCATGTACAGCACATGAAAAAACGTTTTATTTTGCTTTGATACCCAGATTTAATGCATGAGATCTTGACATGTCATCCTACACATTCAGTAGAGGTGGAATGCATGTAGGATTTGTCAGAGCCTATTGAGTGACCTCTGCTCTCATATTCTGAATGAACAAGTTCCTTTTCAAGCGATATAGGAGGGAATCTATTGACAGGATCATCTTACCATGCTATGTAACAGGCAAGAGTCAACCATGATGGAAACCTCTGATCCATCTGTTTGTCTTAGTCCTCAAACTCTTTTCCAGATCAACATAGGAGTAGCTCAATGACTTGCTTTTTATTTAATGCAGACATTATCTCTTCAAAGGCTATTTTGTGGGGTTGGACACAGTCACTGTATTTTCTTTTTAGTTTAACTTGGCTGGTCTGATTATTTTCTCTAGCCATTCAAATGATATTTTATGCTTACTTGCTGACTTTTGGGGCTGATACTTTTGTGCAACTGAGTTGTGCATAAAGCTTAGAGGCTTTGGGGGTTTTGTGTTTGGTTTTTTTTTTTTTTGCCTTTCTCTAAGTAAAAGAAGTAAAAATAGCAATGGATATCAGTGCATATAAACAAGAACTATTACTGTGTTGAGATACAGCTACACAACCTCTCTGTCACTTTAATGCAGCTGGTTAGTCATAATTCTTGCTGCAGGTCAGAGGCAATGAGTTTGGATGTTATATGTGATCTCCTGGGAAAGGAAGCCAGCCTGTGTGGTACCTCCATGGATTGGCTGAGCAGTGACAATGAAGTCTGGATTAGAAGCAGCTTCTTTACTTCTTTCTAACTCTGGGGAAGTAGTAGCTGTTAACAGCTCCTCTCTGTAGAGACAATGCAAGGTCATTGTAAAGATGTATTTTTATTATAATCAGTGTGGACCCATGGATTGTTTACAGGAAAGAAAAGGGAGAAAGAAAGGGAAAAAGACAGGATGATCAAATCAGAAACATGCTGGTGCTGAATATAAACCTTGCAGGGACAGGGTTTTGGTTGAAAACTCTAATTTGTAATAATAGGTCCCATAGCTCAAAGTTTGAACAGATTGAACAACTGCCAGTCAATTTAAATTCTAGAGAAAAGAATGATTCTGAAAAAATACTGGGCTAGAAGCAAAGATTTTATAATTAGTTGTTGCTCTAGATTAGTTGTTGTTGGAATCATAATGAAATGCTGGGCTTTAGCTCAGGAGAAGACACATAGGAAGTTTCAGTGAGGGTGATGAGATCCTTTTCACAAGCATTGAACCCCAGGATTCTGGGATTCCAGGTCAGGGGATATGTGGGCAGGGTGAGAGATGTGATACATGAGTCTGCACAGAGCTGTGTTGTGGCACATCTGAAGTTTTGGAGAGAGGGTTTCAAGAGGTTCTTGTCCTGGACTGCACATCCAAGACCATCTTAGAAGAGTTAAGTTAATTAACAGAGGTAGTAAGCTCCCCATGGAATGGTTTGGGTTGGGAGGGACCTTGAAGATCATCTTGTTCCAAGCTCTCTGCCATGGAAGGGATGGCACCCACCAGATCAGGTTGCACATCCATCCTGGCTGTGAACACTTCAAAGGATGGGGCTCCTCCCCAGTGAAGCAATATTTAGCCCTAGAGAGCTTTAAATGATCCCTCTACAAGGCTCTGAGAGAACACAGCACAACAAAGTATCTTGGTAAGTCTAGGTAGAAGGGTAGGCTTAAAAGAGTGTTCGTGTATGTCTAAACATGATGCTGGATCCAAACTTCAATGAGTTCACTGTTTTAAGCACTTCATATTGTCCTGCTACTCCTACAACATTAAGTGGATTTTACTAAAAAGGCAAAAAAAAAAAAGAAAAAGAACATATGAGAGATATTATTTGTAACAAGCCACAGTAAACTCCTATTTACTAGTGAAAAGAGACTAAGCTGGGTTGAACTAATTTTTAAGAATTATAAAATAACTTATTATTTTGCTGTAACATAAATGAAAGTGGCTAGGAAACACTTTTTAAAATGTAATTTTATTTTATTTTGTAGTAACACTCTCACAGGTCATCTGAATTCTGTAAAATTTTGAGAGTCTGAGTAAGTCAGAAGGATTGGTAGCATTTTCTATTACATTGGGTTGGGATTTTGGGCTGGGTCCAAAACTAATTTTTGATTGCTTACAGCTGAGGGTGTTAGAATGAACTGCTTGACCAGGATTGTTCTAGAACAATTGCATTCTGTTGGAAGTAAGCCGATAATAACAACTAATATCAAGTCCTTCATAGAATTAATTCAGTCTTTTTGATGTTCATGATTTGTTAATGAGCAGCCTGCAATTTTATTTGAACTTCTAAATAAATTAATTTTCTAAATATTTTTGATAAACACTTTTTTTTTCTGGATTGTTTATAAACAATTAATTGCAAGTACTCCTCAATCAAAATTTAATTGATGTTCATTAAATTTTATCACAGCCACTGTTCTCTGTGGTATTTTTAGAGCTAGGCAGTAAACATTTCTTTCACCTTTTTGTAAATTTTATTTATTAAAGTTTAAAAATGCCCCCAAATATTTGGAAATTTCTTACCAAAGAAGAACTAGGGTGGCATGGTATCCAACGATATCTATGTGGGCTATTTAATCCATGCATTGAACAAATCTTTACTCTGTATTTTGAATTACAGTCACTTGGAATATTGCTGCTGCTATTTTTTTTTCTTTTATTTTGATATAGACTCATTCTTGATGGAGATTTTATTAATGTAAAGAAATCTAAAGAAAAATGTTTTGATTTAAGGCAACAGTATTTTCAGAAGAAAGTGAGGTTTTCAGAGGTTTTCAATATTTTAAAACAGGTAAGCTTCTCAGAATCAGGAATAAACCACCACCATCTGCTGTTTCTTCAACTCAGCCTTCAGAGAACGAACCAGTTTAAGTATTTGGCACTGGAGGAAAAACTAAACTACTTTTCTCGTAAACAACTTTCCATTTTCCTGGAGCAGAAATTTTTATACCCATGAGCAAAATAGATGAGGTGAGGTGAGATTCACCTGGCCAAATGAAGCTGTCCAAACTCAAGTTAGCCAACTTAGGTGCCTTCTAAAGGACATTATTTCTCTTAAGTTTGATGTCTACATTAGATAGACTGTAGGTGGCATGGCAGTATTTTTAACCAAACCCTGCTTGTATTATCTGAAATGTTCATTTATATGTCTTTGCATTAGTGGATAAGCTCCTAAGACTTTTTCCCAGAATAAATGTTCTCATTTGCAAGTCCTGTAATCTCATGCTCTGTGAATTCTTTTAATATCCATTTAGAAGGAAGCATTTCTTTGAATGCCTGGTCCAGCCAATCTCTTCTCTAAATGGCTCATGGAAAGGAGGGGATGCAGTGTGTTTGATGTTGGGCTGCCTAAAGCCTTTGAGATGCAATGACTTCTAACTTCTAAGACCAGTGTGCCAAGAAACACCAAATATTGCTAATCTCTAAAGCTTTTATGTTATTAGAGCACAAAATAACAAGCTACCATGACATAACTCTTTACGTAGACGAAACTTGGACTGAGACAGATAGAATTAAACGCTTAAAAGAAATCTGTCCCCTTCGCCTACACATTTTGTCCTTTCAGGGCAGCTTTTTTCTTTCTTATAATCCTTTGTGGACAGAAGCAAACTGCACAGGATCCCTAGGAAAGATTCCTTCACATCACTTTTCTAATATAACTTCAGATACTTCCCCTCTTGCCAGGAGCCCTCCAGTAATGCTCTGGAGTTTCCTGTTTTGTGTTTGGACTCACTGTATATTTCTAAATCCCTTTTTGTGCTATTTCATTCCTGAATCTTCACCCAGCTGTGATTATTCCAGGCGGATGCTATTCTCTGTTAGGAATACACCAATATATGTAATTGGCAGAGATGTGGAACTAGTTAAACGGCTGCATGATCGACTGGAGATGGGAAAGAGAGCTGTGATTTTCTGTTATATCTTCCTCTATCTTTAAACTCTTCCTATAATCTCCATCACAAGGGAAGTAGTAGCTTGTTTTATTTTATTTTTACACAGTTGTTGACAAACTTGCCACTGCAGTACATACTCTTGCAAACATACAGCCTCATTTCCCTGGTCACATTTTTGCAGGGCTCCTCAGTTTCTGAGTTTTTTCAGGATGCTGCAGAACCATTGTTCTTTGATTTGAATTGGTAAATAGAAATACAGACAAAACACAAACACAAAACTATACGTGTACGCACATGCCTTGCAATTTTTTCCTAACCAGACTATATAAAACTTGAAATCAGCCAAGATTGTCAAGATAGAAAATAAAGTGGTGACCCTGATAGTTTTCAGTTCTTCGTTACTACCCAGGTGGCCCTGCTGGAGTTTGGAGACTTGTTACAATTTGCTTGACACTTCATACTTTATTAAAGAAAATATAAAATAATACTGAAAAAGAACACTTTCTATGCTGGATAAAAATGTAACAGATGGACAAGATTTTTCCTAGCAATCTCTAAGAAAATTGACTCAACAGGACACCAAAGAAGTGGCAAATAAAAATTTCTACAGTTTTAATTCTTAGCTCATGAGCTTAGTGAAGAAAGTTTTAATGCAAACCTAAAACTGGGTATATTAGAAAATGTGTAATTTCTGCTAGTTTTCCTGAGAATTATATATTAAGCATGTAAGAATCCTAGCTCACAGGCATGACCTACTAGCTTGGGTCCCTGGAAGAGTAAGTGGTAAATACTAGTTTGGAAGAACACAGACCTTATACACAAACAATGATCTATGTGACATGAAGAAACTTAAAAAAAACCAAACCACAAACAAAAAACCACAACCCGGGTTGCAATTTTTCGTTCTTTTCGGAAAAAAAAAAAAAAAAAAAAGAGACATAAGATTGCAGTGTTTGTCTGTATAGTTGAGAACAAGGCAGAAATATACATAAGGAAGTGGGTGTTTGTTTTCTCATGTTTAGCTGGAAACTAAAGAAGCCAAAACCAGATTGTACTTTTTATAATTGCAGAAGAGCATCCACACTTGCAATAGCTCTCTGCCTTTTGCTACTTCAGTGTGACACTACAGATATTTTAATAAGTGAATTGTAATATCCTCTCATCTTAAGAGTCCAACATCATGTGGTGATGTAATGGGATGTTCTCCCTTTTATGTTCATTCTGATTCTTTCATCCTTTCATTCATTTAAATGCTTAGAGAGGTGGTTTGAGTAAGTCAGGAATACTACCTTTTAATGCACTTTCTATCTTGTATCCGATGTTAAACTGTTTCTACTGAGTAATAGGAGAAGGGGTAGCCTCTTGCATAAATAGATTTATGCATAATAACCCCATTCTGTTGCACAAGGAGGGCTGGGTTAGCAGAGATTTGGAGTTTTTTCTGTAGTTTCAAGAAGGTGTTTTTTAGATGATTTGCTGTTTCAGACATTCCTGAAACCTGCATCTTGGATGGACATGAAAGAAATGTAATTTGTTTGAGTATCACATCTGTTTTTATTTTAAATGCAAGCTTTTAAGGGAGAAGGGATATATTTTACCAGACCAGCTGACAGAACTGAGTAAAAATGAATGTTATTCTCTGCTTTAAAATTCTTCTTTGGTTCCCTGACTTTGAATGTGAAGTCTGCACATTTTTTTTCATTTGCATTTTCATTTAGAAAGAGATACCACATGTCTCTAACTCTTCTGCCTTAGGACATGTTGGCTACCACATCTTTATTTTGTTTTTGGCATTTTGGTTTCTGGCTTATTAGTACATGGTGATTTGTCTGCATGGGAATCTCTTCTCAGTTTTTACCTGTTTTTCTCGCTTTACCCTAATTTTCATCATTTTATATACAAGCCCTTCTAAAAAAATCTTGCCTTTATAACACAGAATACAGAATCATATTTTCATAGAATCACAAAATGTTATGATTTGGAAAGAGCACCTTCCACTAGACCAGAGCCCCATGCAATCTCACCTTGAACACTTCCAGGCATGGGGTATCTAGATCTTATGTGGGTAACTTGTTTCAGTGTTTTATAACCTTCATTGTTAAACACTTATTTCTTATATTATATTTAATCTAAATCAGCCCTCTTTTAAAACCATTAAACCCCCCCAACATTTTTAAAAAAATTAAAAACCATTACCTCTTGCCCTTAATCAGTCTTCATAGGAGAGATGATCTGAGTGGCCTCCTCTGGACACTTTCTGACAGATCCATGTCCTTTTTATGTTGGGGACACAGTTAGATGCAGCACTCCAGGTGGAGTCTCACCAGAGCAGAGCAGAAGGGCAGAATCCCTTCCCTCACACAGCTGGATACAGCCCAGGATTGGCTTTTTGGGCTGTCAGTGCTCATTGCTGGCTCATGCCCAGCCTCTCATCCACCAGCATCCCCAAGTCCTTCTAGGCAGGGCTGCTCTGATCTGTTCATCCCCAGCCTGTACTGGTACAGGGGGTTGCCATTGCCCATTGTGCACTTGTTAAACGCCATGAAATTCTCATGAGTCCAGTTCTTGAGCTTGTCCAAGTCCCTCTGGATGGCAGACAGTTTTTCTAAAAAATTCATTTTACATCTCTTTACTGCTTTCATTATTATTGCTTCTACTACTTTTTTCACCTCCAGGAAAGCTATCTAAATGATCATCCTTGCTTTCATGGTAACTATTTTTATATATTCCTGAAAAGATTTAAATAATTGATCTTTTTCTCCATATAAATCACTGATTCATACAGCTACTGAGCCACCACCATCCTTGTGCCAGCTTTAGAGCATGTCCAAAATTGAGAGCATAGAAATATTTTTATAACATGCTCCTTTATCATGAAAGGTCTATTGAAAACTACTTGGCAAAGAAAGAGTTCTGTAAGATTTCCAAATACATAAAGGACCTTCATCTGATCCAAATTAGACCGATCTGTCAGCCTAAGCATATGTCCACTGAAAGCATATCAAAAGCTCTTACTACTATCAAGAATATGATTCAAAAACCCATTTTTTAGGCTAAGGACTTGATCTAACTTTAAAAAAGCATGTAAATAAAACTGCTGTGACTGTGTGAAATCCCAGCAGGGCTGATGTGAGGTTTATGTCCAGGACAGTTTGGTTATGCACTGCAATTTGAGAGGCGAATAAGCTGCTTGACATTGAATCGACACAGAGCCTAATCAGCCTGCAGGAAGTAAACAAACTCCCTATCTCTCAGTGAAGTACACGGGGCAAGGCTAAGCAGCACTGAGAAATTCCAGGCTTTACATCAAGATGCATGATGGCTGTAGGGCTTTGGAAGCAGAAAGCTGAGCTAACTCAGCTGTGACATGGGAGATCACCATCATGAAGAGCACATGCTCCAGAAAACAGCTCAGCTGTGGATGTGGGTGGCAGATTGCAAATGAATGAGAGGTGTCTGAGAGAGTGAACAACTGATGTTGATAGTGTTTGGATTTAAGTGCATGTCCCTCCTCCTTCTGGGGACTTCTTTGAGAAGGAAAAGCTCTTGTCTGGCTCCTCTTATCCTCAACCCCTTATACCGCCAGAGTGTGTTTGGTGGGTTTTGCAGCTATAAGAGCCCTGTATTTCTTTCAACTTAAAAGCCTGAGGTAAAAAGTCCTCTGGATTTGATGGAAATGAGGTATCCCTGATCTTCATATACAGAAGCTTGATAGTTGGCAAATAATGATATTTTAGAATCAAGGAATTGTCTTTCTATGAAGGACACATTTTAACAAGCTGGGATTTCTGGGCAACTGACGGTGTATCTAATGCACAAGACACATGGATATTGACATGGACTTATGTTACAATATTATAAATTATAGAAGAGAATCATACAATGGCTTGGATTGGAAGTGACCTTAAAGATCATCCGGTTCCAATCCCCTGATGTGGGGAAGGACACCTTCCACTAGACCAGGCTGCTCAGAGCTTCATCCAACCTGACACTGAACACTCCCAGGTACTGGGCATCCACAACCTATCTCTCTCTCAGCAATCTATTCAACTGCCTCAGTGCTCTCATGGTAAAGAATTTCTTGCTAACATCTAGCCTAATCCTACCCTCTTCCAACTTTAAGCCCTCCCCACTTGTCCTCATGCCCCTGTAAATTGTCCCTCTCTCTTTTTCCTATAGGCCCCTTCCAGAAGTACTAAAAGGCTGCAATTAAGTAATCTCAAAGCTTTTTCTTCTCCAGAATGAACGATCCCAATTCTCCTAACTTTGTCTCATAGGAGAGGTGCTGCATCCCACTAACCATCTTGGTAGCCCTTCTCTGGAGTTGCCCTTAGTGGCTGACGTTGTTCCTGTGCTGGGACACCAGAGCTGGATAGTCAATCCAGGTGGGGTCTCACCAGAGCAGAGCAGAAGGGCAGAATCCCCTCCTTCTCCCTGCTGGCTTTTGTTGCAGCCCAGGACACGTTTGGCTTTCTGGGCTGTGAGTGCACATGGCTGGGTCATGTCCAGCCTCTCACCCACCAGCACCCTCAAGGCCTTCTCAGCAGGGCTGCTCTGACCAGTTCATCCCCCAGCCTGTGTTGGTACCAGGGTTTGCCCCAGCTCAGGTCTAGCACTTTGCATGTGGTCTTGTTAAAGTTCATGAGATTCCCGTGGGCTCACTTTCCAAGAGAGTCCAGGTCCAGCTGGTTGGCATCCCATCCTTCAGGAGTGTCAACAGGATCATTCAGCTTGGTGTCATCTGCAAATTTTCTGAGAGTGCTCTTGATGTCTTCATCTATGTTATTAATGAAGAGATTAAATAACATTGGTCCCAACATGGGCCCCCTGAGGGACACCACTCATCACTGATGCCTACTTGGACTCTGAGCTGTTGGCTGCTACCATGGGGATGCAATAATCTAGACAATTCTGTATCCATGGAACAGTTCACTCATCAGATCCACTTCTCTCTAATTTAGAGAAAAGGATGGTGTGGGGGACTGTGTCAAAGGTTTTACACAAGATGACATCTGGAGCCCTTCCCTTGTTCACTGCTCTAGTCCCTCCACTGTGGAAGGCCACCAGGTTGGTCAGGCAGGACTTGCCCTTGGTGAAGCCACGAAGACTGTCTTGAATCCCCTCCCTGCCCTCCATGTGCCACAGCATAGCTTCTAGGAAGATATGGCTGCATTAGATCAGGCCATGCCATACCGTGCCACTGCATGCCATGCTGTACCACTACACTGTGCTATGCTACAGTGTACTACACTTTTCCATACTATATCTAGGAAAAAAACAGGTGTGACCTATTTACCTGCTGTGGGCCTCGCTCACATTCATCCAGCATATAATGGTCTTGCTTAAAGGCTAGGGCCATTCATATTGCTAACTGACTTTTGGTTCAGTAGTTCCAAACTTTGATCCCAACATCAGAGAAAAATCTCAAATGCATATACCAGAGCTGCCACTATTTTTGGAATGTAGCAATTCTTTTATAAGGAGACAATTCTTGTACAGTGTATATTAACTCCTCAGAAAGCCTTTCCACGTGGTAAAATAGATTTGGAGAACAAAAGCACTGAACATTGCAACTTGAATAAGACGACGGTCTTTTATTGTTAGCTTTGAAGCACTGAACAATGTCTGAGACTTATTCTGCGAGAGAGAAAGGGAGAAATAGAGAATTTCACCTCCATTTACATTCTAATGCTCTCTCAAAATAGAATTCCTCTCTGGCCCTTGAATAAATACCATAGGCTAGCTTGGGGATACTGCTTTAATTTCTGTGGCTGGTGACAACAGAACGGGACACAAACAATTCTCTTTCTCCAGTGTTTATTGCCACTGCTTGGGTGGGGATTGAGTGGGAATAACCAGAGTGGGAAAACCTTCCACAGTACAAGGGCTGCCCTGGCCTGACAAATCACACTGATTCTAGTTAATAAAATGATAATCTGGCATGGCTGGCTCTAACAGTATCCTCTCTGCAGCTAATAAACCCCACACTGAATTGACAACACTTCCCATCAGACAGTCTCATTGGACACGGGAGCTGGTGACAGTGGTGATTGCAGGGTGATGGTGAGGAGGGGGCTGGTTGCATGGGAAGATGTAGCAGGTAATAAAATGTGACTTAGATGTAAGGTGTTACCCTGCTCCTTGGTTTCCTAACAGCTTATTTTTTTCTAGTAATTTGTTTGATTAACACACACAAAACCCGGCAGAAGACAGAGGGAGAACTCCAAGAGGAAATTGATTTGCTGACAGAGACATACAGTTTTGTGTTTCTCACAGCTAAATCCTTTCTACTCCCAACATACATTTGCATACTGTCTCCTGCAGAATATCTGCTTTATAGCTACCTGCAGCTACCTAGCCCTGTGTGCATGTGTCTGAACTGCTGTCATGTTGCATCTAGCTGGCAGCACTGGGACAAAGCAAAATCTGAAAAACTGTCTGCCCTTTTCTTACTGTGACAATCTACAAACTGTTTGGCTATTATTAAAGTTGTCAGCATGGTGCAAACAGCTCACTGATGTTTTACCAGGGTTATGATTGCTCTCACTTGGCATTACTGTTGGCACAGGCACATGAGGGAAAAAAAGAGGAACTTGCACACTGGCTAAGGATTGCTGCTTTTAGGTCAATTTTAATTCAATATTCATGAAAAAGGAAGATCCTTATCCTGTATCCTCAGTAACAGTCCAGTAGGAAGTCAGCTGGACACAGAGAAAGAATGATCAGGTAATAACACCACATAATGTAGGCTAGATGCAGGTAGAATTTATAGCTTTTTTTATCTCTGTGGTTAGTACTTTAACACACAGACTCCTGTGTGTTTTTGAAGCTCAGATCAGGGTTCTATGCTGCCATGCTGCATGAAAAACTAATGCAGAGCCATCATTGGGCAAATTGGATGCTGTCCAAAGAAGTTTTATTCTGTCTTATGAAAATTTTTTTTGGCAAATACCATGCCACTTGGTCAACTAATTTTGGACATATTCAGAAAGTTATGGTAAATTAACAGTTCCCATTCTATAGCATTGAGCTGGCAGGATGAACAACCAGAAGCTTGAGAACCCATAAAGTGGTTTGACACTTTAGTTATTCACATGTGTGTGAGCATGTTTGTGTGGAAAAAAAGAAAGAGATATGCTGTGCTTGGACCTGTGCAGAGTTTATTGTCTAGATTGCTCTGTGTTTCACCACCTCTTACCCCTGCTGTTTGGTTTTGCATGCTATTCATCAGAACTAATTAAATGGTATTGGTGATGAATTAAAAACACACTTCAGGAAAGTAAGGGGTTAACAAGTAAATCTGGATAAAAAGGCAACTAAGAATTAGATTTTAGATTTTCAGAACTCATTTGCTATTAGCTAAAATCCTATCCTCAGTTGGGGAACCAGTCAAGGGAAAACTCCAGGCAGATGTAGTGGATGACATGACTTTTGTTGCCCAATTCATTCTGTCTGCCTCCTTGATGATTTAAATTTACAGCAATATTGTACCCACAGCTATATGTCTTGGTTGGGTCCCTTTCAGATGTGACATCTGGCCAGACCAGTGTGATGAATGGTGGCTCAAGTTCAAAAAGTTTAGTTCAGATTGTGAAATCATCACAAAACTAAGATAGTTCTCAGAAGACTGCAGACTTCAGTTCAGCTCAGCTGTGTCCTCACACTGACCAGTGGGACCTCCTCCTGGTTTGTATTTCTATTAATGCAAAGCAGTGTATGGTGCTGGGAATGAACATGTCAGCTTGGGTGTTACTGCTCAGCTGCATCTGAATGATAAGTTATGAGGGGGAAAAATTGACAGAGTGAAGTAAATCTGTGATAATTTATCCTTGCTTAGCCAATGACAGCTCTTTTCTGTGCTAACTAAAGACCAATATCATCTTCAAGATCACCTGTGCTCTTTGAGTCTCTGACGATCAGGCTCTACACTGGCACGGTTGATTTTCAAAGGGTGCAGTACAAGAAAACCTGATCTGCATATGCTTGATTTGAGCTGAATGCCATGGCAATCAGAATCAATTGTGTTAATACTTGGTGGCCATAGCAGCAGTTCTAAGGTAAATTAAAAAATCCTTCTCTCATCCTTCTTACTTGGTAATTACTGAACCAGCAGGTTTTAAAATATATCCTGGAAACATCATTAAAAACATTCCTTGGCAATCTCCTGTCAAATGCATTCAGCCTAGTAACACTCAGAAACAAGATAAATCAGTAACTTCTTGGTTCCAATTCTCTCTTAGTTCATAGCTAGACTCAAAGGAAAAAAGGAACAGGAAATTTAGACAGATCGTTTATAGTTGCATTTGTGCAATTTTTTGAAATGGAAAACAGTTGTATTGTAGTTATTGATTTCTGTGGAAATATATTCTTGTATCAAAGAAAGGCCCATGCCATAGAGAGAGAAACTGCCTCAATATCATCAATTTATACAGAAAGTTTTCTACATGGGGGCTGGCACGCTTTTCTCCTTCTCCAGAGGCAAAGGTACCAAACTCAGTTGCTCAGCTCTGCTGTGATAGGAAGCGCCTAGTCTGGCTCCAGGGGCAGTGGTGCTGGGATTGAAATGTGAATGCCATGGATGGTCACTGAGGGGGCATGAAATGAGGGTGAGATCCATGCATGAAGTGGGAAGGACGGCACATCTGACTGAGAGAGCTGCTCAGGGAGATCTGGTGTTAGGAAGGAGATTTTAGCTGTGTATGCCCTCTGCATACATGGATCCTTAAATATACAGAAGGAAGAAATGGAAAGCAGAGAGGGGAGAAGGGAATTAAGTCAACAGAATTTACCTGCTCATCTTTGGCATAAAGGCAGTGAGTAAAGCTGTGATTACAGCTGTGATCGCCTGCAAAGAAAGAAAAGCATTGCCAGACAGAGGAGGGACGTGATCCTTCCCCTCTGCTCAGTTCTGGTGAGACACATCTGGAGTTCTGTGCCTAGTGCTGGGCTCCCCACTGCAGACAGACTTTGCCATGCATATCTAGCAAAGGGCAACTTGAGTAATTAAGGATTTGGAGCATCTGCCATACAAGAAATGTCTAAAAGAGCTGCATGTTTTCAGCCTGGAGAAGACTCAGGGAGACCTTATCAATTTATGGCTATAAATACCTGAAGACAGGGTGCAAAGAGGACAGAGCCAGGCTCTTTTCAGTGATGCTAACTGAGAGGACAAGAAGCAGTGGGTACAACCTGAAACATAGAAATTCCATAAATATGTGAGAAACAAGTTTTTTCACTGTAAGGGTTAGTGAGCACTGAAACAATTTGCCCAAAGAGATTTGGTAATGTCCATCCCTGGAGATAACTACTACCTGACTTGACAATGCCCCTGCTGGCCTTGCTTTGGGCAGAGGCTTGGACTAGATCTCCAGAGGTCCCCTCCCACCTCAATCATTCTTGGTAATTCTGTGGTAAGGCGAATATCTTTCAGAATTATGGATTTATTCATCAACTACCAACTACAAGTGCTAGTCCTTTTGTGTATGATGCTATTTTCAACAGCACTTGATTTTCAAAAATGCTTTGTGGAGCTCATCCGTTTAGAATGAAGACCCTTAAATATGATCCAGAGAGGGTCTATAGAGACTCACTTTCCTTTCATTTCAGCACTTAAGTCCTTGAATGATGTAGATTGCCGCTAAGAGTTTCATTGATGTAAATTGAAGATGTAAAAAAAAGAGGGTTTTAACTTTCCTGAAAATAACACAGAGAGCATCATAATGGATTTTTATTGCATACTGTTATAGAGATCAGTATGTTCCTTAGTCCCCCAATATTTTAAGAAGTTAGAAATTAAAAAGGAATCTCAGTATTTTCTTAGAAATAGTTCTAAGCAATATAAGAGGAGACTCTTATTTATTTCATGACATTTGATTGATACAATTCTTGCCCCAAAATATTATAGGGTGTTAACTTGGTTTGATATTATGATTCTATTAAGAAAACATATGTAAAGGGTTAAAAAATGAATGATAGTGACAGTAAATCCTTTATAGATTTAG